AGCAGCAGCAGCAGCAGCAGCAGCAGCAGCAGCAGCAGCAGCAGCAGCAGCAGCAGCAGCAGCAGCAGCAGCAGCACCTGGGGGGGGCCTTGCGTAGGTTTGCTGCAGAGTTTTGTTGTCTTGTTGGATTTTTTCTTTTTTTAATTTTTGAATTAAATTTCGAAAAGTTTTCGCGTCGAAGAATTTCTTCGGCTTCGGCGGCACAGCCACTTCGGCCAGGCTTTTGCTGCGGTCGCCCAGTGCTGCTGCTGCTGCTGCTGCTGCTGCTGCTGCGCTGCTGCTGCTGCCCGCTGCTGCTGCTGCTGCTGCTGCTGCTGCGCTAAACGGGCGGCGAGGGAGGCCAGGCAGCAACTGCGACGCAGAAGCTGCGCGGAAGACGCGCAACGCCATTTTCGCTGCTGCTGCTGCTGCTGCTGCTGCTGCTTTTTTGCTGTTGCTGTTGCTGCTGCTGCTGCTGCTGCTGCTGCTGCTGTTCTTATTGTTGCTGCTGCTGTTGCCCCAGCTCCTGCTTGTGCTGCTTCTGCTTGTTTGTTCGATTGACCGGCTGGCGCTGCGGTTTTTGCCGCAGCAGCAGCTGCTGCAATGCTGCTGCTGCAGCAGCAGCAGCAGCTGCTGCAGTAACTGCTGCGGCTGTTGCTGCGCTCCCTTCTCTCGCCCCCGCTGCTGCTGCAGCGCGAGCCGTAGCTGCTGCCTTTTGCTTCAAAGTGAGCAGGAGTTTCAAGCAGCAGCAGCCGCAGCAGCAGCAACTGCAGCAACTGCAGCAGCAGCAGCAGCGCAACGCGAGGCCCCGCCCCCCTGTAGGGTTCCGTAGAGCAAACGGCCAGCAGCAAAAAGGAATTAAAAATAAAATGTAAAATAAAACAAATATTTGAATAAATAAATTAATTTATTATTTTAGATAGCGCTGAATTTACTTCCATTCTCCTCGCAGCGTCCCACTGCTGCTGCTGCTGCTGCAGCAGCAGCTTGGGGCCCCCGGCAGCAGCTGCAGCGCAGCAGCTAATAGAAGCTGGCTTTTTGTTTAAATTGAATTTAAATGCAAATATAAATTAATTAATTTAAATTTAAATTGAAAGAAATAAAGAAAACTTCAATCTTAGGAGCAGCACAGACAGCAGCATCGACGCAGCGCCGACACCACCGAGACTAACCTGCAGCAGCAGCAGCAGCAGCAGCAGCAGCAGCAGCAGCAGCGCCTGCTGCTGCTGCTGCAGCAGAAACGGCAGCAGCAGCAGCAGCGGCAACAACGAGGCGGGCACAGCAGCAACACACAAGCGGCTACAGCAAAACTGCTGCTGCATCTGCAACAGCAGCTGCAACAACTAGCAGCAGCAAGAGCAGCAGCAGCAGCAGCAGCAGCAGCAGCGACGGCAAAACCAGCAGCAAAAGCGGGCTAGAAAAGAAACAGCAGCTAAAGAAGCTGCTGCAGCAGCAGTAGCGGCAGAAAATCCGGAGTGTACAGCACAAGCAGCCCCAGTTTGGACTGCTGCAGCTGTTGCTGCAGCAGCTGCTGCATTTGCTGCTGCAGCAGCAGCAGCAGCTGCAGCAGCAGTTGCTCTAGTTGCTGGTTCATCAGCAGCAGCTGCTGCTGCTGCAGCAGGTGTTGCTGCGGCGACTTCGCTGCGTACCACAATGACAGGTAAATGCAGCAGCACATAAATAGCAGCAGCAGCAGCAGCAGCAGCAGCAGCAGC